CCCCGCTGCTGCCCGAGGAAGGGACGAGATTTGTTGTTTTCTTCTACCAGCTCCACCTCCCTTGTCCAAAAGTAGCGAGCAAGTGGGAAAACCAAGTCTCACAAAACGCCCCCGCGAGACGACAAGTGTGTGCCTGGGCTCCCGAGACCTATTCTGTGAAGAGTTGCCCAGTGGTCGGATATTGAATGTACTGGGAACTGGAGTAAGGGCGAAAGAGGAGCGCAGGTTTGGTATTTGTCAGATGTCAAAACTGGGAAAGACCAAGCCTCCTGGAGCGCTAGCTTTCATACTTAAGGAAAGTCACTTATAGTGGTTAGGTGAGGTATGAAAAACGATTTGAGGAAGCATATTTAACCTGGCAATGTCACATTGAGGTTGCACATGGAGAGGTGCAAGAACAGAGCGAGAAATGTTTGGAGAAATGTAAAGTGATTGCTTAGATTTTAGTACTACAAGATACTGCGGGAAACAAATGATGTGGAAGTGACAAACTATTTTTAAAATGAGTTTCTGCACTCCCCTTTGTAGTTTTTTAAATGTCGTGAGCATGAAGACTCAAATTCTATCCAAAATCAGACACAGTATGACAAACCAAGCAGCAGTGTTCCCCTAAACATTACGTGTAAATAACCTAGGCAGACTGTGTAAGCCTTCGAGTATCTTATGTACTTGACTATGTTCTAAAGAACAAGTTAGAACACATTTTCACTTTAACTTGATTGAAAAGAGACCTACCCTTTTAAGGAACATTTTTTTTTTCATTTAAAATTGAAGTCAAGTGCATTGTAAAATACTACTGGAAACATTGATTACAATGTAATTGAACGTAGTGTCACTGGTAGCTAAAGCAAACCATTTTGGGAGAATTATAATGTAGAGTCCTTTTGAGGTGAAATAGTGCTAAGTTTTTGTCCATCCACTTACAGATGAGGCGTAGACTACTAAGATAGCACATTGGTTTGCTTGCCTTCTTTGTTTCTTATCTTCTTTCTAGCACATTGCTCCCAATTTATTATTCCTAGAACATCCTTACTATACCCAGAACACTCTTACTAAAATCAGCAACTTCTACTGGTCTCCTAAAACCCCAAAGATAAAATCCAGGCTAGCCTTCCAGAACCATCATAGCATTATCCTGGGCCTCATATATTTACTACAAAATGTAAAGGGTGCTTGCAAAGTGATACTCGCATCTCAGCGGTTTGAAATGTCGCTACTGGAGTTTTAAAGTCTTCTCAGACTTCAAGAGTCTACATGCCATGAACCATTTAATGGCTACCTGGGGGGAAAGTGAGAAAGAAGGGAGATGCATTGGCAGGAGGAATGATACAGGGCTGGTCAAAAGCTACAAAATCTGTTGCCTTCATAATTTTATGCAGGGCCTTTCCTACCCTGTCCAGCGGCTACTTCTGGTTTAACTTCTGACTTCCAAGTGCTATTGTTGGTTGCTGATTCTTTGTCCTTGACTCTTTATTCTTGTTCTTTCTGCCCAGTATCTTCATGATTTTCAAAACTCATCTGATCCAAAACTTCCTGACTCCATGGTTCCTGATAATGCCCCTCCCACAGTTCCCTGATACCCAACAGAATGTCCATATCATTTATTTTAGGGTTGAATTATACCATAAATAATACAACTAGCACTGAACAAGATGTTTGACTTATCAGTACAATTGTAAATGAATTTAAAGAAGATTTGTTAATCTACTTGTACCCCTTATATTTTTCATTACAGTAGTGATTTCAAAAGGAATACTGAGTCCTTTGAACTTAGTTTTCTAGTTTTTATGTTCTTCAGAATGGACATTTAAATTGATAAAATGTTTGCTTAAGTTATTTCTCCAGGGCTTGTTATTTTTTAATTAGTTTTTTTGTTATGTAAATATATTTTTAGATAACAAAAGAGAATTCTTAAGAAAGACAACAATGAATGATAGGCTACATTTAAAAAAGCAGACACCAGAGTTAAAAAAAGAAAAAGAAACCAGTAGGTAACATTAGAATAGAACACAGCAATCGCATGAATATGCAGTAGCACCAATGTATGTTTCCTTCTACAGGGCAACATTAATGTAAAATGCTGAGGGACAGATCAAGAAGGAAATCATAAGACAGCATGCTATTTCCTCGAAAAGTAAGGATTTGAATTGCATTATCAACTCTGAGATTTTTTAAATGCCCACAGTGTGTCATCTATTCAATGCTAAACATGAACAGACTATAGATGTTTGTTTCTTCAAGGATTATTTTCCAAACAAGTATCATATTGTAGACTAGCTACAAATGTACATTGTAAATACTCCACATAAAGAATAGTTTAAGTCAGCAAGGCTCACAAAGTGGAAGGAGAAACAAATTTATATTACAGGTGGATAATTCCATCTAACAGGATATAATGGCACAACTAGGCTCTTTCAGATCAGATTAATGTTTAAATTGCAGGTTAAGCAAACAGCTGTATTTTATATTGCAGTAGGAGAAGATAATTTTCAAGAATATTAGTGGAAAATATTGAGAATAAGCTTTCAAAAATTTACTGATAAATCATTGGAACTGTATTATCAGAAAAAGTAGTTAGTCTGATTTTGATTGGTTTTTGATATCTTCCTGGGAGCCGTTATTACCATTAAACTATTTGTGATTTTAATATTTCTGGTTATTTTAGATATTTTAAGGTAATAAAATTGTATAGTTAAGATCTATAATTCAAACCTATTGATTATTGCTAGGATTTTCCCATATTAGCAAGAATTCAGTAATTACTGGATTACTTTTCCTCATAGGGAAGCAATAATATAATATAAAAATTTGCTATTTTCATTTTCCACATTTTTTCAGCCATACACAAGAGGGAGGAAGTGGTAATACCACTAGAACTTTGCCTTGAGAATTATTTACACAATTTGGACAAGTTACCAGTTTTTATACTTTCTGATTTTGTGCACATTGAAGACCTAAGAGTTTTATCACTTATTCTCATATCATAATTTCTTTAGTTTGCCAGATAATGCTAAATTTAGCTTCTCTGCAGTGAAACTTTGTAGCTTGGTTTTGTTTTTTTTATAGTAGCTCAGTTCACTCTTGTTTCTGAGCAACAGGTAAGAATGGCTCATCTATTCTTCATCATCAATGGAGTGAAGCTGATTATGTAACAGAATGAGCTTTATTTGGTCTGTCTCATGAATTCATGAGACAACTCAAAGGAGGTCTTGGAATTCGCTTTACTGGACATAGTTAATGAGAAAGCCAAAATATTTGTTATTCATTTGTGAAGCTAGATGGTCAAGTTTGGATCGGTTTCTTTTCTTTTTCTTATCAGTCCTGCTGAAAAGTTGCCTTGACATTTTGAGTCATAAGAGCTTGTAAAGAGGTGTATGTGTCCATATCTAATGCCAATAAATCCTAAGGATTTTTCTGTAATATGCAGCAGAACAGGGAAGACATCATTATTGAATTTCCCAGGGTAGTTAGCACTGACCTATAATGTGATCAGTTTACTTCTTGTAGTTCTTTACTGTTTTCTTCTTATTTTAGGATTATTTCTGGCTTCTGGATTACACATATACTTTTTACAAGCCATTCAGAGCTTTTTAATTTATATGTTCACTGTGCATATATTTGGAATTATGTATTTGTAGGTTAATCTCCCTTTCAATATTTTATGAAGACCAGAAAAGGAAAGCTGATGACCACATGAACCTTGTATTTAATACTGATGGATTTTGAAGAAATTTAAATGGAGCATTCCTCTAAAACACACACACACACACACACACACACACACACACACACACACAGAGTCTTTTTTAAAACAAAATTATTTCTCCTGCTTTGTGCCTGAACCTGAATAAATACAAACTGCAATGGCCTCTCCCACCACATTTCCCTTCTCTAATCTCCCTCCTGCAGCTCCTTCAAGCCCATTTCAGAACAAACACAATCTGCATTCAGAACAGTTTACAAGTTGAATGGCGTTATTTTGGATGAGTCATTGAAAATACAGTACAAAACCTTTTCTCACTCACCAGAAATGGGTTTTTTAAAATAAAGCCAAAGCGAACAAGGTCTGGGAAGTTTGGGGGTGGACAAAGTTAGAAGAGAGCGGAGCTTCTGCCAACCTCCGATGGGATCCTGTTACACTATTTTTGGCTATTTCTTGACTTTCAACTCCACCAATTCCCTTTGCTCTCACCAACTAAAAAGTGCCAGATTGAACATGTAGGACGTCGAGATAAGGACACTATTTCAGCTAGTTCCTTGACAGTGAACACACCAAGTAGATCCAACAATAGCTCAGCCACACTTTTGAAGTCCCACCTTTGTTTCATCTTTCTTTAACTTAAAAAAAAATACATAAAGTATATATATGTAAATAATTACTTTTTCTGATTAATTTTTGACAACAAGTAATTACAGTATAGGCAATTATTAGAAAGTTGTATGTAAGTTCAATATGCTACCCTTTCCAGTTCCTCTTCTGGGGCTGAGGATATAGCTCAGTGGTAGAGCAGTTGCTGACCATGTACAAGGCCCTAGGTTCAATCCCCAGCACCAGAAAATAAGTAAATTAATTAAATAAAATAAAGTAACATTTAAAATGGGAAGTCCTGTGAGAGTTAAACAAAAAAAATATTGAAGGGAATAGATCTAGACAGACAAAAAAAAAAACAAAACAAAAAACCATAAGCTATTTCCTAAGGAACTTTTTAAGAGGAATAACTATAATAAAAGAAAGCTACTGCCTTGATGAAGTCTGGATATTTAACATGCAGAAATTCACAATTTATAAATCAGTGTATGTTCTTATTTTTCTAGCTATGGAGCATATTACTTACCCTGAATTATGCAGAAAACTTTTTAACAGAAGTGCAAGTAGTTACTTTTCTACAAGCTGCTGCAGATGAGTTGATGGTCACACCTCATGAAGGAGAAGAAACCTGGAATCAACAAGGAGACATTCTTAAGCACATCGTGCTGACTCAGAGCTCCTGCTATAAAATTTGATACCCCTGAAAATCATCTTTAACACAGGTCTGCCCCATATATTATTGTACATACACTATGGGGGGGTCCTAAGGTTCAAAATGTTGCCTATTCACAGAAGATCCACAGGCAAGATGTGGGAACAAGCCAAGGAACACTGATTTAATTAAGCAAGTGTTCTCTAAACTCCTGCAAATTATCAGTTTCCACAAGGCAGAGGGACAATTGTTGGTAAAGGGAATGAAACTTCTATGAAATTTAATCTGGCTATGGAAGTACTGGGGTCAAAATAAACAAACAGATATTTCCTGCTGTAGCTAAAACCAAGCAAAATACTCTTTCCCACATTTTGGGATTTTTTTCCCCTTTACTTTTATGGCTAAGTAATAATTTTTAAGTTACAAGAATTTTTACATCCTTCAAAACGTATTTCTCCTACCTAGGAATGATTTTTGTTCATTGATTTGTAATTTAAATGCAATTTACATATGATAATAATTAAGAGACTTAGTAGCTTTAATATTAAGAACTAAGAACAAAAGCAAAACCTTCCCCGTAATCTTGTGTCAAATCAAACTGAAATGTGAAGAAAATTTCCATTAATATCTTTGGGGCAGGAACATTTATTATAGCTATTAGGTAGCACAGTTAGCCTGTTAGATTAGTTCTGATCAAACAATTTAAAGCTGTTTTTATTAATAGATTGTTATTTCTTTAAAAAAAAAAAAAAGAGAGAGAGAGAGAACCACAGAGTAAAGGTTAACATGCAGATTGTTTTTCCTTGAGCTTAAAAGATCCCCTGTGTGGATAATTTCCATTTTAAAAAAAATAAGCCAAAGTTGGCACCTTACATATTTTCAATACTTTAATTACAGTAATGCTGATAATCAGCTGGGAGAACTGCTGCTACAAGCAGTTAATCTCAATGAAGCCAAGAAAATAATAATGTTAAAAATGGATGCTGTTAGTTGAGTACTTGCTTTGTGGCAGATAGCAAATTAGGGCTGGATTTATACTGTCTCATTTAATACAAAAGCTCTTTAGTGCCCGTGTTATTCTCATTTGATAGATAGAGAAACTGAGTTTCTGAGCCCTTAGTACTTGCCGTATGCCACTTACTGTAAGTGGCAGAGCCCAACCAGACTTCTCTCCTCCACAGTCCTTGCCCTAATCTACCTCGTGCAACTCTGTCACGGGACTCCAGGCCACAGAGTCATCAGCAGCCACTCATTCTTCACTTACAGCTGACAAAGGATCAGTAGCAGCCATCCTGCTGCCACCTTTTCATTTTACAGGGCAGGCAAACTCAACTCAGGAAGTTTAAGTAGCCTGGCTAAGGTCAGCAACTAGTTAGTGACAGAATTACTTGCGGACAAGAATCCGTATCACAGTTTAGTGTGCTTCCTATCTGTCACACAGTGTTTTTATCAGGAAGCTTTGTGGGGCAATTATAAATATTGTAACACTTGAACAAATTAGGTCATCATACATACTTAAAAATGAGTTTTTAGAGAAACCTGATACTGTATGAGCAAACACATTGTGGACAGAACAAATACATTTCAAGGCATTAGTCAACAAAAACCAAATGATATTATAGTCCCAAATCATTTCCTCTCAGAATATTTTCAACAATCACAAAAAGGGTATTTGTGATCCTCCAGAATATCTGCTAGTCCATGTCAGGAGAGCTCTGGTTAAATGTAGGACATGTCTCCACTTGACACATGAAATTAAGTTACAAACCTAGGACATCCATTCGTACCTGCACCCAAATCTAATTTATGAATTTGTGGAATGCCAGCATGAATTGAGTTCTGCTCACTAGGTACATGGCATTTATTTCTTCATTTTTTTTCATTCAATCATACAGTAAATGTTAAGTGCTCACACTATGGGAGATATTGTAATGGCTTAGTGTTACAGGAATGACCAAAACAGGTTTGTCTTAGGATTTTATCCTACAAGGGAAGCCTTTCTTGATGTTTTTCTCCTTCTTCTTCCTCTTTTTCATTCCTCCTTCTTATTTTCTTCTTCCTCTATGTCTTCTTTTATTTTTTCCCTTTCTATTATAATACAGATAGTCTCTTTTTGTATCACCATAAATTATGCTCCAACTTTTATTGTGTACCTCATGGAGTAGAAAGAAAAAGCTATGAGTAAAAATGGTCATTCTAGTCTTATTTAAGTATAAAAATCAAAATCATATGTAAGAAGAGAAGCTTCTCAATAAAATATTTTATAGTTATTACAGAAAAAATAAAATTTTAATGGCTGGGGAATTTTGGGGTGTGTGTGTGTGTGTGTGTGTGTGTGTGTGTGTGTAGTATTGAGACTGAACCCAGGACATTCACACTGAGCTATAGTCCCATCTCCCCTTTAAGTTATTTTTAAATTTTGAGACAGTGTCTCACTAATTTGCTAACTTGCCCAGGCTGGGTTTGAACTTGTGATCCTCTTGCCTTAGCCTCCCAAATAAATAAAATTTTAAGAAAATCTAGGAATGTAATATGACAGGTCAAGTTTGGAATATTGTTTGAAAGCTTCAATTATATTGTATTCTTCCCAAGCCACTGACTCCAAAATTCAGTCCTATGCAGACAGACTTTGAAACAACTATGTCCAGAGTTAAAATGAGAGGAAAACATCATTTCCTGCTAGACCTTATACCATTAGAAGGTCCGTAGGGGTGAGGAACGGCAAGGTGTGGTGGTGGTTAAGAATGGAGTGTTATAGCCAGGCATGGTAGTGCACATCTGTAATCCCAATACTTGGGAGGCTGAGGCAGGAAGATTGCTGCCAGCTTGAGGCACCCAGGGCTCTGAAGTGAGTTCGAGGCCAGCCTATACTGCATAGCAAGACCCTGCCTCAAAGCATCAGCTGGAGTGTTATAACTCTGACTTACTCTTTATACTGGTGCCCATAGCAGGAATGCGGGTAAATTTTACCCCAGTTTTCCCAAACAGTACTGTACAATACCACAAACCTCTCTACATAAGCAGGTTCTTTGATAAATCTACTTCCTATTTGTAGATATAGAGAAATATCAACCCCCCATCTCCCTGTATTAGACCTGCTACTGTTTCTGCCAAATGATTAGATTGGCCTTGAGGTGTATACATCGTTGCTTACATTATCTTTAAAGTGTAACCATGTAGCTAAATAAGTTCCATGCATTTCAGCAGAGGAAATGTTTAAGTATACAATAAATCATATCTAGACTGTAGTCAGAATGTTTCTTTCCTATGAACTAGGTATCTCAGTAGCCCTACAAACATTGATAAAGTCAAAGATGGAAAAAGTGCCTTTCTTTATCTTATCAAATCTCAAACACTTTCAAAATGGAAAATGAAGATTTAGTATCTAGGTTTCTTAACAGTATATAATATTAAAATTCCTCAGTAGAATTGATACTTCAATCCAAAACTTGTAGCTCCAGGTACCAATATGGAGAAAACTCAAAATTGGGGGTAGAATCTATACAAACCCAAGTATTCAACTTGTGTTTGAGTCCTCCTAGGAAAACATATTTTCCACTAGAGACAAAAGCCCAAGATTGTAACAGCTCCTGTCCAGCCACATTCTGCTACTCAGAAGACTTGCCAAAGGGGAATAATGTTCATGATAAGAAAGTAAGGAATTTGGCTGCTTAGCTTAAAATCTGTGCTTCCAAGAAAACCAGATATAGGACCCACAGTTTTAAGATTTTTACCTAAGAACTATTTAAAACTCTGATTAAATGTTTATGAAGATGGAAACATTAACTACTCTGACTTGATGACGACACACTGTCTACATACTATACATTGAATTATCACACGGTACCCCATACATTTGTCCTATTAAAGTAATAAAAGGAAAACCCCTCACTTGAGGAGAAACAACATTCAGAAAAGTTTATCTAAAAGAGAAACAGATATTATTGTGGCTACTTGATATATATCCTTATATTTTAATATATTAGCATTGGCCATGATTTACAGTAGACAGAGAAAAGGCTGAGTGGCTTGGTGATATCTGCTGATTTCCAGAAAGGTGATTTTTATAAAATCTCTCTGTGACTTGTGTGAGGCACTGCCTGTACTCATACTCACTATCTCTAATAAGGACTGTCTGCAGATTACTCAGAATGTCACTCTGTGTTCTCTCTAGGATAATCTCGGGAGAAATTTCATTTAACTCTATTATCCTAAGAGCGGTTGAACTTACCAGGATACATATATGTTTAATCTCATGAGCCCTGAACCTGGATAACTGACAGTTTCTGCTCTAACATCAGCTGCCTGAGAAGTGGAGAGCCACATGCATGTCTCAGCTGTGGCAGTAAGCAGGTTGGGTGTGCCTCTTAAACCTTGCTCATAGCTCCATTTTGTTCCCACCCTTGTTTTATTCTAATTCTATTTTTTTTTAATTTTGCTTACAGTTAACATGCTGTTTTTGATAATCCTTTTCTCCAGCACATAGGGAATACATATACAAAGAAGAGCTAAGACTGAAGGGGAAATTATGCACAATTGATCATAAGTTTACTAGAAAATGTGCACATTCATAGAGATATATTAGGAGGGTCATGGACAGAGATGTTTTCTTAAAGTGGCAACACTGTGGCTGACTCATTTCCAAGCTCTTTGAAATCATAACATGGGGGTATTTCTCAGCATGTGGAGTATGTGCATGGCCCCATACTGCATTTCAGTTGAACTGTTGTCATAGAGCTTAGAATGTAGGTGACAGCCAATCTTCAGAGGTCTTGGTGCACCATTCTGAGGGACTGTATTATTGCCCGCAGGAAGTTGGAAGTGGACTTTAGTTTCTAACTAGAGCACGCTATGGAAAGATGACTAGAAGCTACATGTGGAAACAGTCGGGTCGATCTCAGGCAAACGAACCTTCAAGGAAGCTTACTGTAGAAAGAGGCAATTGATAAAGACCTGAGTTAGAGCAGTGGAGATAGAGGATAAATTCAGATTTGACAGATCTAAAGAAGATGGGAGAACAAAAATGAGTACATTATAGGACGTATTAAACATGAAGTCTTTATACTTTATATTGGGGCTACTGATGGAGATGTAGGCCCACACATTAGGAAATGTGTGTGTGTGTGTGTGTGTGTGTGTGTTTGTATTTTGAATCATTAATACCACAGAGCCTTCTTTCTATGTCATTCTGGTCAGAGCTTTTCCTATTTTCCAAGGAAACTATTACAAACCTAATGATTGGGCAGTACTCACAAATGGCCTCTAAAATGCCAAATCCAGTGGCCCTTTTCCAGTCTAGTTACCCCTATAACTTTTGTGGAGATTCACTATTCTCATCTCTCTCTTGTTCTGACATTTCTTGATTCTCCTACTTTTCATTCTCTTTCACTGTGTTTTATTCTCCTCAGAGTGTTGCTGCCAGGTTCTTGAGAGTTCCTCTCTCTTAAGTTCACACTCTTTTCTTGGGTGCAGAGAGGACAGGGAACCATATCATGTTGAGTCCTTAGGTCACTGAAGAAATGTGAACTTTAGTCTGTGAGAACAGAGGTTATTTGGGATGTTAAACAGAGCGATGCCATGATCTGACTCATGTTTTAAAAACCAACTCTGGCTATTGTGTATAAAATTGACTAATAAGGTAGCTACAGAAGGAAAGAGAAAAACCAAGAGGCTTATGGGGTAATTTAGACAAGTACTCAGAGTGGGAGCTTTGATAATGGTGACAAATGGTGGGAATTATGGATGTAGTTTG